CATAAACAGATCTCTTCTAGTCAGTTGGCCAGGCAGCTGTCCTCCAGAGTTCTTGGCACAGCCTAGTGAGCACATCTAGGGCTGCTGAAATATGTCAGTTGGTATTTCAGCAATTTCTGGGGCCTTGTTTTTTGCCAATGCCTTCAGTAATGCTTGAACTTTTCCCTTTATTGTCATTGATTCTTGGTCATATGTTACTTCCTGCAGTGGTTCTGTGTCAGCCAGCTCTTTGATACAGTGACTCTGTGTATTCCTTCTTTTATTATTTCCTGTGTCATTCAAGATTTTGCAACGCAAGGCTTGAATGCTTTTCAGTGCCTTCAGCTTAAGAAATGCTGAATTTTTACCTTTTGGTTTTTTGTCTCCAGCTCTTTGCACATTTCATTGTAATACTTACCTTTGTCTTCTCCAGCTGCCCTTGAAAGGTCTAGGAGGGGAAATGGGCGAAAAGCCTTCGGGTAGACCAGACTCAGAGGCGTGCTTGTGTGCCGGGCGTTCCTCTGTCCCACAGGTGGAAGGTGGAGGAACAGATGCAGGGAAGGAGGCCAACAAGACAGAAGCAGTGGGGAGCCTGGAGAGGTCAGTCATGAGGTTTCTGGAGCCTGAAGTTGAGCAACTTGCCAGAAGTGGATAAGGGGCTTTTGCCTCTTGCATCAGTTTCCTCATTTATAACATCACGCTTTGCCTCCTGGGTTGGTTACCTAGATGAAGACAGGAGCTGCATGCCGGCAATCTTCCACAGGCTGTGGATGGTCAAACATGGCAGCCCCTTCAGTTGGTAGGTGTGCCCTGGACTGGGTGATGGGTACAGTGTGTACCCTGGTCAGGCATGAGAGGCAAGGCTTGAGGGATGAACCTTGCAGGTATGTGCACTAGGGTCATGGGGCGACTGGCAGGACCAGAAAAAGGGTGGACCACACAGGGATGCCCTAGCAGTGGCCAGGCAAGCTGAAGGGAGACAGCTGAGTGTGGTGCAGGAAGCAGGCAGCAAGCTGGTGATGTTCATCCGAGTGGAGGGCCAACGCGGTTGGCTTCCCCCACACTGAGGCCTTGCGGGAGGAGGCTGGAGCTCCTCCTGAAGAGCCTGCACCAGGGCTGCCTAGTCAGGACTCTCCCGCCCGGGCTGTGGTCTCCTAGATGTGAGAACACGATTTCTGGGAAAGGTCTCTGGGCTTAGATTCCCCAGGTCTCCGGAGTTGTCTCAGCTTCCTGATTTTCGGCTTTCCGATCATTTTTATCAAAGCACTCTTGTTGAGTCAGAACTCAAAGCTGAACTTATAATTGGTTTTCAGAGGCCATAGATCGTTCAGTCGGAAATTGCCCATCTTTCCCCACATAGAGTAGCTACCCACTAGGCCATAAATAGTGACTACATCATTTTTATGGATGGCTGTAAATAAATGGTTCCCATAGTTCAACACCTGCTGGTCAGCACATGCTAGGTCCACCACAGGATGAGGACAGCCCTGCTCCCGAAAGGCACTCACTCAGCCTGGCAGGTCCGGTGTCTCCACCCGAGGAAACGGCAGAGGAACCTGGGGAGTGAGGCCTGCTCTGTCTCAATGGGTAGGTTCAAGTGATCTATGAACTGAACCTTCGTTAAAATGCACATCTAGCACAACAAGATAAAGGTAAATAATCCAATAGAAAAATGGGCACAGGATATGAACAGGCACTTCACCGAAGACGACATTCAGATGGCTAACAAACACATGAAGAAATGCTCAAAATCCCTAGCCCTAAGAGAGATGCAAATTAAAACAACTATGAGATATCATTTCACCCCAGTCAAAATAGCAAAATTTAACAGAACAGCAAGCAACAAATGCTGGCCAGGTTGTGGAGAAACTGGAACCCTGATTCAATGTTGGCAGGAGTGTAAAATGGTGCAACCCCTGTGGAAAGCAGTATGGCGCTTTCTCAAAAAGTTGGAAATAGAGATACCATTTGACCCAGCAATTCCACTACTGGGAATATACCGTGAAGAGACCATAGCTGACATCCAAGCAGATATATGCACACCCATGTTCATTGCAGCTTTGTTCACAATAACAAGGAGTTGGAAACAACCTAAGTGCCCATCAACAAACGAATGGCTAGAGAAGCTGTGGTATATTCGCACAATGGAATACTATGCTACATTAAAAAACAAGGAACTCATGCAATATTATTCAAAATGGTTGACTCTGGAGAACATTATGCTGAGTGAAATATCCCAGTCACAAAAGGACAAATATTACATGATGCCACTGTTGTAGAATGGGACTGTCCTTGGGGTTGGGGAGAGACTGAGTAAGATGGGTTCAATAATGTATACTGCACTGAAACAGAGGAGGGAGAGAACCGTTTAAAAGAGAGATATAACTGGGTATTTCTGTCATCACAGGAGACTAGAGCGAGGGCTACATGGTGGAGGGGACCTGGGGGAGGGTTTGTAAAACAATGAAAGAATCTTTTCTTTTACTTTTCCATAATTTTTGGACTCATGTACTTATAACTTGTTAGTCAAATTTGTGTCTTCTAGGTTGCAACACCCCCATGATACATCTTCAAGGATATGAACATGTACAGCCAAGCACAATCAATAAGAGTGCATCTAAATTCCAAAATCAATCTCCATAATAGTCTATGTGTTTCCTACTGCCAAAGGGGCCCTTTAGAGTAGTGAGAGAAGATCTTCACCCTGAAACCCACAGCGTCCCTTTTCAGCAGGAAGTAGCTAAGAGAATACACCATCCCCTTTTCCTTATGACTCAGGGTGAAGTCTCTCTCAGGGAGGAGTGATAGGGAATGGCAAAGGACACACTGACAAAGAAGATTAATCAGAACTGGCTTTGACAAGCACTGTGGCATTTGGACAAGAACAAACTGGGAGGAGGGTAGAGAGAATAGTGCAACAATGAATGAGTGGAAGCCCAAAATCTCTGTAAATGTTTATGAAAATTAATAAAATATAATTATAGAAAAAAAAATGCACATCTAGAAGGATTTCACAGATAATGCGCCAAGGAGGCTGTGTTAAAGAAGTCAGTCCACGGATGATGGTACTGAGGACGGTAAGAAGAACGGGATGGCGGCCGGGCAGCTGAGTGAAGTGGGGGCGGGCAGGTGCCCGGGTCTTAAGTCCCATGTGGACTTCATGTGGAGGCTGTTGGTCAGATCATGTTTTAGGTTTTTTTCTTGTGATTTGAGTGAATACTAAAAATGTGTGTTTTTCATTTAACTCACATTTTGTTATGACATTAATTCCAATCTCCACATCATAACTGCACAATTCCCAATTCCTCATGATTTTCATTTCCACTAATCACCCACCCAGCCTTCTTTTTGTCCCTGCAAATGCTGTTCTGATTTTATTTGGTTGATTATTCTAAGTGCCTCCGTGGATTTGTTCCCAACTAGGCCTATTGTTTGGATGAAAGATGAGCAACAGGAGCAAGTTTTTTTCAGGTTGCGAAGGGTGAGTGAAGGCCTGTCAGACCAGTAAGTCTGACTTTTTTATGTACTTGAGTTTTTGTTCCACATTTTCATCTCTATCCAAGACTTTTGTGAAAGATGTCTTTTACAAAGATTCTTTTGCTGCTGGTGAAGATGGCTAATGGGGGCTGAGGTAACAGGTGGCTTTAGGACCTGTGTGGTACCCCAGATATGGATGCAGGGGCATGGCCCAGCCTGAAATGGGGGTGAAGACTCGCTCTGAAGTCGTGTCTTGAGTCAGCACGGAGCCGGGGCCCAGCCCACCACTGGGGAGGGCAGCTGGAGAGAGAGAGAGAACAGCTGCAGATAGAGAGAGAGGGCATCTAGAGAGAGAGAGAGAAACAGCTGCAGAGAGAGAGAGCGTGAGCAGCTAGAGAGAGAGAAAGAGAAATGACTAGGCACAGCATCCAGCGCTATGACGGGAGTGCAGAGTGGGCACTCCAAGAATGTTCATCGCGGAGGGAAGGTCTTTCTGGCACATGACTTGTGAGGACCCGAGGCCAGTCCCGACTCAGGACATTCCCTGAGGAGGTGCAGGCAGGTGGCCCCTCTGCCTCCTGGTGACACTTCCAAGACAAAGGAGACACATCCACAGAAGGTCATGACTCTACTGAGGCTGAGGAAATGACTCTGGTCTCTTAGGTTTGATTTCATAGTGGGTGGACTTTATTGGGAAAAGTTAGTGTAAAAAAATTCAGATTCAAAAATTTAAATAAGACAGTAAAATTATACCTTGCAGCTATAGTAATCGCTATAGTAATCACAAGTAAGGTAAAGTCTAAATTATTGCCTAGGCAAACACTATTTTGTCAAGGTTCTGTTACAAGCCCAAGGCAGGAAAAATTGCAATTATTAGAAATGAGCCCAATGATGAATTTGCATTTGAAATTGGAAGAAAAGGTAAAAGCATATTCTGATTACAGCATCACAACATTCTAGCCTGAAAAAAACCCCAACTTTATTACTGTCCTGTAGCAGAGTACATTAGTAATTTTAACCATGCATTAAAATTATCATATTATGTTATAAAGAGAACAATCACTTTTTTTCATGATACATTATGTTTTACTGAGTTTCCTATGGTTTGTCCTGCTTAAGCTTTAGATGCTTCTGGGACATTCTTTCTCAGATTGCTTCCTAAGATGGCAGCTGCTACCCATGGGTCATCTTTGGTCATTTAGCGCCTGTTAGGTGCCGGGGACGGTGGGTTAGACCCCGTTCCTGCCAGCCCAGAGTGTGGCCACGAGGCTCACTTACAAGTGAATGTGGAATTCTTCTGGTTATAGATTTCTTATTTACGTTTATAAAAAATATAGCTAGAAATATGCTCCTGAATTCTAAACGTATTTGTGACAGACTGAAATATTATGTCCTTGCAGAATTCATCATGTGGCCAGGTTTAACACCTGCCTATATGCTTCCCTGTGGAATCTAACATCAGTGGTCTATTTAGCAAATACATCTGTGTGAGGAACAGTGACTGATCTTTAGGCCCTGAAGGGGCGGCCCCCGACCATAGGGACTTAGATGCTGTCCATTGCTTTAAACTCACTGAGGGCCTGCACGGGGTTTACATGCTTCTTCTGTGATGCCCGTTTGATTTTGGTCTGCGTCTCATCTTGTTTCTCTCTCTTAACCAGGGGCTTCTTCTCAGGGGCCTTCATCTTCCAAGACACGGCAGGGAGGTTGAGAGACGCCATGCCCTGAGACTTCTGGTATTTGGTGGAGGCCACATAGGATGCCTTCACTGTCTGCACCACAGCGTTCATCAAGTTCTTGGCTGCCTGGATCAGCGACATGGCACTGTCCACCTACAAAGAGACAGGAGGGTGGTGAATCCAAGCCCAACACATGCGGGCCAGGGCTGGTCAGGGACCTCCCCCCCACGCCCAGGGTCTCCTTATCCAAACACCACAGAAACACATGTGTTCAAATTCTCTGATGGACAAAAAGGAGGCATAATATAGGCATGCAGCACCATCAGCTTGGGGTTCCCTCATGCTTTATTCCCTTGGAGGGAATCTGCTTTTTTTTCTCCTGGTGCCGGGAGCAGACAAATAGCTAACTAAGCCGCACATACTCAGTCAGAGACGAGGAGAGGAGGAAGCGACTCAGCCATCCTCGACCCACTCCTTCCCGAGTCAATTCTGACTTGCAATGACTACAAAGGACATAGGGTAACTGTCCTATGCAGTTTCCAAGTCTGTAAACTTTTCTAAAAACCAACAGCCTCATCTGACTTCCATGAAGCAACTGTTGGGTTTGAACTGCCAACCTTTTGGTTTTTAATAAGACCAGCTCTCAGGGCTTAGAAATCCTCTATTCTCTGCTCTCCAGCTCCACCTCTCAGACTGACAGGGACAGTATCTCTGCTCGCTTGGTTTTAGGGAACCCCATTCTCTTGCCCTTGGGTAAGGGAGTCCCACATGGCACCTGAGTTGGTGAAGCTCTGACCCTGTGATCCCAGGAAGGCTGTGCTTCCTCCCACAGTTCTGCTGTTTTCCACAGTGCCCCAAGGATGGGCCTTTCCTCTCCTTGGAGGCCAGCAGACCTAACTCCTAGGGCCCTTTTCTAGTCTGAGCTGGCAGGTTCAGCTCTGGGTATGGGGAGCCCCACTAATCCAAGCTTAATCTCTTCAGGAGAAGACTGCAGCAGTGTCCTTGGTTTGTACTAATCTTTTAAAGTCATATTCCGTTTGCACAGCTCACTTTTAAGTTCATCTCTTTTTCTCACAGTTATTCTAAGAGCCAATGGAAAACCATGCAGCCTCTGTAAGGAGCTTGCTTAGACATCTCCTCAGTCCATCACTTCCACCAAACATTTAAATATAATTCAGACAAGATCTATGCTGCATAAATGAAAACGATGACATATGATTGGACAATGAAGAAAGGCGATGCTTTTAAAAGTCTCACCAGAAGCACATTAACATTCACATTTCTGGCAGCGTATGTGTTCTCCAAAATGATAGAGATGTTCTCTGTTGTTCTCCTCATTCCCTTCAGAGCCCTCACCAGAACTGCCTTGTTGCAGTTATGTGCTACTGAGTCAGTTACAACTGACGTACTCAATCTGTATGTTGAGCACATCATTCAAGAAGCTGGACTATATGAAGAATGTGGCATCAGAGTTGGAGATGATTCATCAACAATGTATGTTAATGAAGATGACACAACCCTGCTGGCTTAAAGTGAGGTGGACTTAAAACACTTGCTGCAGAAGATCCAAAAACACAGACTTCAGTATGAATTACAGTTCAACATCTAGAAAACAAAAATCCTCACCACTGTAACAACAGGCTACATCGTGATAGGTGGAGAGAAGTTAATGATTTCATTTCACTTGGATTCACACCACAAATGGTAGTGTAGCCAAGAAATCAAAAGACTCACTGGAGAAATCTACTCAAGGACCTCTCCAAATTGCTAAGGAGCAAGGATGTTAGTTTCAAAAAGACTAAAACATGCCTGATCTAATCCATGGTCTCATTAGTTGCTTCCTATGCATCTGAAAGTCGGGCAGTGAATAAGGATGACAGAATTATTGGTACCTTGAACTGGGCTGTTGAAGAAGAGTACTGAATATCCTATGGACTGACAAAATAACAAACAAGTATGTCCTGGAGGAAGTCCATCCTTGAAGAGCATGCCTGAGGATGCTCACCGGATGGGGGTGGGGGAAAGTTCAGGCTGCTTGTTCATAGCGTCCTTATAAGTCATAGTCAATTCAATGGTACAGAAAACAACATACCTCCCAAGGATGAGATCCTTTTCCAGATACTGACCCCTTCTATTAACAGGCCCAAAGTACATTAGAACAAGTCTCACCATCCTTAATTCAGAGGAGCAATGAAATTGCAATTCTTTTAAGACGGATTTATGTTGTTTGCTCTGTACGCAGGCAGGCCATGTGCATTTAATATTCTCTGCCAACACTATAATTTAAAAAATTCAATTCTCTTTTCCTTATTCATTTCTAGATTTCACTTGACATTCTCAGCTCGTTGCTCTGAGTCAGAACTGACTCACAGCTGAGCCTCCACTGAGTTGCTGAGGTTTTACATCACACAAGAAGAGACTCCATCTTCCTCCTCGGGAGCCACTGCTGGATCTAACTCCCAGGAAAGCACGGTGTTGGAGTGAGCGACCCAGCTTTCCATGGGCTTGGTCACCAGAGCGCCCTAGCCTTATTGCTGACGTTGTCGTTGGGACCACTCGTCGACTGTGGCTCCTATCGACCCTCTGAACAGCCATCTGTGAACAGTGGCCCAGACCTGCACCATCCTCATGAAGCATCTGAAATACCATGCCGAGTCAGGTACATCTCAATCTGGAGGGTTCTCCTCACTCTTCAGCACGGTCCTTGGCAGCAAATTTGTCAATTTTAATATGTCATTTGATATCCTGATTGTTGCTCCCCTGGGTGCTGATAGTGGATCGAGTAAAACGGCATCTGACAATGTCAATTTCCCCCCATTTATTATGATGTTGTTTACTGGTCCAGTTATGAATGCCATGGCTTTTTAATATGTTGAGGTGTGATCCATACTATAAGCTGTAGTCTTGATCATCTTCTGTAAGTACTTCAAGTCCTCTTACTTTCAGCAAGCAAAGCCTTCCTTGTTTATGTGCCAACAAGTCAACTACGACTCCCAGCGGCTCTATGAACAACAGCTCTGAACTTTGCCCTACCTTGGGCCATCCTCATCAACTCTGAAATAGAGTGCACTGTTACAATCACCGTGTCAGTCTATCCCACTGTGGGTCTTCTCTTTAACTGATTCCCTACCTTTCTAAGCACAATGGCCTCTTCCAGTGACCAGCCTCTCCTAATAGCATGTCCAAAATATGTGAGGTGAAGCGTCACCATCTTTGCCTCCAAGGAGCATTAGGTTATACTTTCTTTAAGATGTATTTACTTTTTAAAAAATAATTTTAATGAAAGTTTACAGAGGCTTAGGGTTTCTAGTCATTTCATTATGGCACTTTTCTCCCTGCCTCCCATCCCTATTCACTCTTCTCCTTGAAAAGTAAAAGAAAAACTCATTGTTAAGCAATCCCTCACCCCAAGTACACTCCACTGTGCAGCCTTCATTCTGGACTCCTTTCATGACAATAATACCCAATTATATATCCCTTTTAAACAGTTCTCTCCTTCATCTGTTTCAATGCAGTATATATCATTCTTATCCTCCTTCTCTGCCTTCCCTCAACCCTGATGTCAGTCCTGTTTTACAACAGTGGCCCTATGCAATATTTGTCCTTTTGTGACTGAGATACTTTAATCAGCATGTCCTCCAGGGTCACCCATTTTGCTTAATATTTCATGAGTTCCTTGTTTTTCAAAGCTGCATAGTATTCCATTGTATGAATATGCCACAGATTTTTGTCTTCTTGCTCTATATAAAAGCTATAGTCTTTAATCTTCTGAAGAAGTCCTCTTTGCTTTCAGCAAGTAAGGCTGTATTATCTGCATAATGCAAGCTGTTGAAGAGTCTACTCTGATCCTGATGCCAGTCTTTGAGTCCAGATTCTGAAATGATTTGTTCAGCATACTGAATAGAAATGGAGAAAAGATGCATCCTTTCCACACATTTTTCATGATTTTAAACAGATGTAGCCTTGAACAAATCCAGTATCACTCCCATTTCTCAGTACTAAATTCTGTTTTATGTAGTTAACAAAAATAACTTAAATGGTAGCTCTGACAAATTTATTTTTAAACCATTTAGAAGGCTAGAAAACTGAATTCAGGGTGTTATGATGGGGTAGGTGTACACTTTCTCGGCTCTGGATAAAGGATCTTCATCTCATTCCTGCTCCTAACAGATCTTTGTGTAGCCCCACATTTCTAGTCCCTCATCTCTTTCTCTGCTCTCTGGCTTAATCTCTTTTATACCTCAAGAGATTAACTCAAGACACAACCCTACACTAATCCTGTCTCATTAAGAAAACAAAGACAACACATTCCCAAATGGGATTATAACCACTGGCAGAGGTCAGGATTTATAGCACATATTTTGGGAGGATGTAATTTTAACCAAAACATCAGTCACTCAGAGAACAGGGGTGACTGCTCCCTGGAGACTGGGCCCCGATTTCTAACATACAAAGGGATTCTTCTGGAGGAAATTGTGCCGATTAGTGGACACCAAATAAAGCCCAGTACAGTGACCCACGCTTCTCCCTCCCCCAACATGAAAAGGAGCAGAGGATGGTGACAAAGTCAGCAGTAAAGGACAGATACACAAGGGAATAGTGTACATTTGTGAAAATAACCTGTCTACTGGCAATTTATGAACTAGCTTAATTTTCCTCTGAGGAAGGAAAGCATGGAGATAAAAATACTTTTCCCAGTGAGTGGCAAGAAAATGGGAAGAGAGCGGCAGATCATAAAACACAGACCCAGTGCACAGTCCCACCACCCACCATCTGCCCTGGACAAACACTCACCCCTGAGACCACGAGCTCCCCGCCGAGGTTCTGCACCTCGGCCTTGACCTTGCTGCATATGTTGAGCTGGTGGCAGTAGAGGGCGATGCGCTGCAGGTAGGCCAGCAGGTCCTGCTTGCAGGCCGAGTCTGGACACTGTTGGGGAGAGAATAACATCAAGTCCTCTGGCCCAAACAGCACCTCTAACCTTGGGTGTTCACAAGGACCTCACTTCCTCTCTGAGGAAGGCTGCTAACACCCTACCTCCTCTGGGCTACAGGGGTATGAGTGAGGGCTCAGCGCTTGCACAGCATTGGCTGCCCCATGGACCTTCTGGTCCTCCCTTCCTGACACCGTGTTCGCAGCAGTCCAGGCTGAGGATGCTACTACAGTTCATTCATGAGCGTTGAGGCCCAGGGCCCTTTAAGAAGAGAAAGAGCCCCAACAAGCACTAGCCTGGCTATGGGGAAAGTCAATTTCTGTTTTGAGCTAGGTAATAAGCACACAAATGTATGTAGCTCTTCTGCTCAGAGGCACTTTATCTGCTCAATTATGACGCAGACTATAAACCCCAGATGAAAGGAGACATTCGTCTCATGCAAACAGAGAGAGAGAAAATGAGTGAAGCAAAGCATAGAAGCAGTACTTGGGGACTGGCAGGTCGTGATGGGAAACTGGAGGGAGAGACTGGCCGGTCTGTTCCATCTTGCTGCCAGAGGTCAGGGATGTGAAGCTGTGTCATCAGAGCAGGTTGCGATGGACACAAAGGAGGAACCTCTGAGATGGTTACAGCAAAATTTCTCTACAGTGAGGCTAACAGGCTGTGACACATGATGAGGCCACAGGGATCTTGAAGACCAGGCTATAGACCCTGTTTCAGTCCAGCAAGAGCCTGCAGGGGTGTGAGCAGAGCTGGCCATGTGTGTTTATGGGTAGAGAGGACATCAGGAAGAGGTAAGGTGACTGTGGAGAGGAAAAGGCTGGCTGTTGTCTAAGTGGAGTCTAATTGACTGTAGAAGCAAAGGCTCAGGAGTAGATTGCACCAAAGAAAGGAAAGCTGATGATGAGTGTCTGGCTTGAGCATGAGGTGACAGAGGCCACTCGTCCTTTAGCTAGGAAGGAGACAGAGAAACTGGTGGTGCTGAGAAATAGAGGAGGGCTACAGGTGCAGAGTGAAACTGTAAGAAGCCGCTTCTCCAATGCTGACTCTTGGAGCATCAAGGGAAAATGTGTTACAAAACATCCCAACTGGTGGAAACAACCGTTTTCTAGGTGTGTGCATGAAAAGAGTAATGAGGAGTGAATAGCCGTGCTGACAGTACAGAATTCGGCTCCCTACTGGCCATATAAGCCTCGCAAACACTGGCCAAGAGGATTCCTGATTATTGGCCTGTGTCAGGGCCTGCCCACAGCCAGCTCTGGAGCCACAGAAATGCATTAGTGTTAGTCAATGGACCGTGTCAAAATATACACATCTGCTTCAGATTCTAATGTAAAACTCCCAAGATTTGTCAAATAAATGGCAGGAATTCAGAAGTCTGTAACAATCTAGCAAAGTTACAGTCTGAGATGATTGAGAAGAGTGCGGTGACCCCCAACACCTGGGCAGTGGCCTTGGGAATGGGTTCCCCCACCCCGGGTGCTGCTCTGTGACCTACATGGTCTGCGATGGTCCGGCCGAGCTTATCCATCCTGGAACCCGCCTCAGCAATTTTCTTGGCGGCACTGATCACGTCAGAGGTATTTTTGAGTGGTCCTTTCCCACTGTAAGAGGAGAACGAGAATTTTGAGTCTGCAGCCCCTCAGGGTGGAGGATGGAAGGCCCAGTGCAGGGCACAGCACGGCGGGCGCTCACCGGGTGAAGTCGGTCATCTCCATCATGATCATGCACATCTGCTTGGCCAGCACGATAATATCGTTGCCACTGTCGTCCCATTTGGACACTTCGGCATCCAGCTTGCTCTTTTCTTCCTGGAAGCTGGCCACCTGCTCAGCGATCTTTGCTTTCTGCTCCTGGGGAAGCTGAGCCATGATGGCCTGAAACCAGAAGCACAGAAAATGCTCACACAATGAGACCATGAAGCTCCCACAGCGCCTTGGCAAGAATATTCCCAACTGGCAACCTATGACACAGGTAGGATAATGCTCTAAGCCATGCCTTTTTGCCTGAAGGCCTGCTCCTCTTCACCCTGGTCCAAGGTTTATGGCCACCTGAGTCCCACTCACTTTGGAGAACAAGTTTGGAGGGAGATGCTGAGGCGTGGAGAGCACACCTGGGCTGGGCAGAGCAGTGGAGAGAAAGGCCGACACAGGGCCACTGACCTCCCAGCCACATCTGTCTGCATGCACAGCTTCAACTTTCCAAGGTGAAATGGAAATGGTTTTTCAATATAAACTGAAGTAGAAATGCAGAGAAATATACATTTTGGCTACCTGATATAGTACTTAAATTTTATTAAACCAGCACTTAAAGGCCAGTATCCACTTTAAGCCCCACAGACTCTGGGGTCGGAGATATTCAGCTTCCCAAAGTGCCCACAAGGGCACCAAAAACAGACTTGCTGTTCAAAGTGATTTCTAAGAAATAAAAAAGGAAAAAGGACTCCTTGGAAATATTTCATGCCATCCTCCTAGAACATAAATGCTATTGATTAAAGATTTAATGACTCAAAGGAATGCAATATCCCTGACTGGTTTTCTTGAAGGTACCACTTAACGGGATTTCTTTTTTCTTCTCAAGCCAAGGATAATTAAATATTTCATATCTATGCTATCACTGAGATGGGAAAAACCAGCCATCTTTTTGAGCTTCATAATTCTTTTAACAGACATTATTCATGAAACTCCAGGGCCCAGGTAAGGAGACTCCAGCTCCTGCACTGGTCTGAGCCGAAGAGACATTCTGGAGGTACCTACACTGTCTACCATGTGGCACAGCTGATGCTAGCTCTCCTGCAGAAGTGGGAGAATGGTGCTCTGGACACTCAGGGCGTTTCCTGGAAAAAACAAGCCTAATTGGGAGAAGGGGTGCTCTTCAAATGCCCCCCCAGGGATATTTCCTTACCCGGGCACTTTGGCCAGCGATCAGCTGATCATCTTCTGTCTGGACGCTTGTTCGGCTTCTGACATCAAAATCTTCTGTCTCAAAGTCCGAGTCATCCAACTCTTCAGGAGTCTGCCACCAGGACAGAGACTGAGTCACACCTAGCCCTGGGCCTGTCTCACATCTCAGGGCACACGCATACCTAGTTCTAGAAACCACACTGATGGAATTCTGGGCTTCATGGGACAGAGTTCTCAACAGCTCTCAGTACTAAAGGTAAAGCTTTTCATGCTCATCTCTGGTCTATCACAGAGGGTGTGGGCACCTCACCAGCACTTTGAAAGAACCCGAGTTCTTTCATGGGGCTGGGGCTTCACTTTCAACCACTGGGTCAAGAGTGTCTATATATGACATAAGGTTTTCACTTCTGAATATATTTTCCCAACACCTGCATCTTACGATAAAGGTGAGAACTGTCCTGGGTAGAAAGGTGGTGACTTAAAAACAGAAGTGTCTTATATTGCATCAAGCAGATTCTTCTAACCTTTCCATTTTTTAACACACAAAAAAGAAATTGAAATGAATTAAATAATACTGAGGCTTATCTTCGAAAACCAAAGGCTGCTTTGAAGAATGAAAATAGGCAATGCATTCTAAAGAAACTTTTATCAAGAAAACGAGAATATGGTAGGTAGAGGCTGAGTAAATACCAAAGGGACTGATTACTGGTTCTAGCTCTTTGCTCTAATTATGAAGTAAGATTTTTATTTTGCACAAACTATCAGTCTCTAGTGATTAGCTGTTGACTTGAAACATCATGTCATTTTTGGAAGTTATCAGTGTGGGGTTAGCAGGGGGAACAGCTGGGGCTGGCTCTCAGCCCTGCCCGCCAGTGACAAACATACAGTGAGGCGAGTCCCTTGCAGGAACCTGGACCAAATCCAAGCCCAGCCCATGGGCCTGCTAAGAGGCTTAAATGAGACGACATGGAAGAATGCACTCAGAAATCCTCAGAAGTGTCTTAGATTTGACATGTGCAGGCTGGGCAAGAGCAGTGGGCACATCAATCGGGCCACAGGGTGTAGACCCTCTGGCTGAGCAGCATGTTTCAGTGCTGGGCTCATGGACACCTTCACAGTTCTGGTACATGCTACATCTGTTAAGATGTTGTTGTTGTTGTTATGTGCCGTCGAGTCATTTGCGACTCATAGCGACCCTATGTACAACAGCCCTAAACCCTGCTCTATCCTGTGTCAACCACACCGCCTCTGACACACCCATCCCGATTACCCCAGTCACTGAATCAGTCCATCTCACAGAGCGTCTTCCCCTCCTGCGCTGTCCCTCTCCTCTACCCAGCATGATGTCCCTCTCCAAAGACCTGTCTCTCCTAGCAACATGTCCAAAGCATGTCAGACGAAGCCCCAGAATCTTTGCCTCCAAGATTAAGAAGCTTCTTCAAATAGCAAAATTTAACAGAGCAGTAAACAACAAATGCTGGCAAGGCTGCGGAGAAACTGGAACGCTTATGCACTGTTGGTGGGAGTGTAATATGGTACAACCACTATGGAAGGCTGTATTGCGCTTTCTCAGAAACCATAACTGCCACCCAGGCAGATATATGCACACCCATGTTTATTGCAGCTTTGTTCACAATAGCAAAAAGTTGTAAACAACCTAAGTGCCCATCAACAAACGGATGGATAGAGAAACTGTGGTATATTCACACAATGGAATATTATACTGCATTGAAAAACAAGGAACTCATGCAATATTATTCAAAATTGGAGACCCTGGAGGACATTATGCTGAGTGAAATATCTCCGTCACAAAAGGACAAATACTGCATAGTTACACTGTTGTAGAACGGGACTGACATCAGGATTGGGGTGAGACTGAGAAAAATTGGATAAATTATGTATTTTTTTTTGAAACAGATGAGGGAGAGATCCGTTTAAAAGTGATAATATGATTGGTTATTATGGCTGATGGGAGTCCAGACTGAAGGTTGCATGGTGGAGTGTACTGGGGGTCGGAAGGAGGGGGGATGACTGTATTCCAATGAAGGAATTTTTCTTTTACTCTTCAGAGAGAGGAGTGAACTGGGAGGGGAGAGGTGGGCAGGGAGAAAAATGCAACAATGAATGAATGGAAAGCCAAAATTTGTGTAAATGTTCATTAAAATTAATAATAACTAAAAAAAGAAGCGTCTTCGAGGATTACCTAATAATGTCTCTACTTCATGACCACCATTATAGCCCACCACTGACCTAAGAACTGTTCTTGCCAAGAGAATAAAATACCATCTTTCTTTTTTTAATTCACTGAAATACTTGTTGGACGTTAAGCCAGGCATCATTCTAGGTTCTTGAAATACAGTATGACCAACACAGAAAAAAACCCATTCCTACAATACTTATTGATATGGGTGATGAGAAAGGTCTTATCTGAGGAGACACCTGTGGACACTGAGGGAGGAGCACCAGGAGTGAGAGGCTTAGCTTCTAGATGGGACCTTGTACGCCAAGTGTGAGGAGTGAAGCTGGTGGGCAATTTCTGGAATCTGCGTGGTGGAGTTTCATGACCTGGTCTACCCTGTAAGTAATGAGTATAGAGGGCTAAGGGTGGGAAAAGGGAGGCCAGCTGATTATAAGTGAGATGCTATAAGTTTGGGAGACATACGAACAGGGATCAGATTCCAGGTTTACTGTGTGACAGTAGAGTCAACAGAATTTGCTGATAGATCCAATGTGAGATATGAGACAAAAGGAGGAACTTTCAGGGTCTAATATCAAGTTTATGGCCTGAGTAACTAGAAGCACAGAGCTGCCATCAGCTGACATGCTAAGACTATGGGTAGAATAGTTAGGGAACTAGGGGAAAGGGCAAGAAGTAGGATTCCCACCTCAAACTGAGAAGGAGAAAGGGCTAAGTGTGTGTGAACTGCTAAAGAAACAGAGAGCAGGACCTCGTTTCCAGCAGAGGGTCGTCCTCAGTCAACAGGCACCAAGAAGAAGGCAGAATAGATGGGTAGAGATTTACCAGGGGCAGATGTTCCAGCTACCTCAGTGGAAGAGGGAGGGCAGGACACAGGTGTATGGGCTAAAGAAAGCAGGTGTGAGCATAAGACCGTGTGAAAGCCTCGTGGAAACTGGAGCTCGTCTGCTGAGCATGTACAGAACAGCAAAGACACTGAATAGAGGGGAGCTCTGGTGGCCTACTGGCAAGAACCTGTACTACAATCCCAGAGGTGCGCAGTTTGAATCCACCAGATGCTCTGCTGGAGAAGGAGGGGCAATCTCCTTAAACCAGTCAGATCCGATTTGACGGAACACATACAAAAAGACACTGAATAGAGTTGCTGAGTCCCTTAAGTCAGTCACACTCTGGTTATGACTCTTACTTATCACTCAGCTCAAACAAAGAACTCACTGACATCGAGTCAGAACTGACTCACAGCTGGGTTTTCTAAGGCTGTTTGTAAACTCACAGGATACTGCCCAGAACTTCTGGTGGATCGAAACTGCCAAGTGTGACCTCTGGGTAGCAGCACCGCTCTCTGTGGACACCACCACTAAAAATCCTACTTCTAGGTGTCTATCTGCATGGAAGAACTGGGGAAACAGGGCTGTGTGCATTACCACTGCGGTATATGACCTGGGGATCTTGTCACATGATCAAGAGTTATGCACTGTTTTACCTGGGCTTAGGTCTTTGCTAAACACAGATTTTTCATTAGCCCAGCTACCGGAATGAAATATACAAACCTCCCAGCGGGGTGGTGGGGGTGGTGGTGGTGGTGGTGGTGGTAGTGGTGTGTGTGTGTGTGTGTGTGTGTGTGTAGAGCCTTTCTGCCTTGCACAGTTTGACTAGCAAATCAGCAGGGCCAAAATTAAACACCCTTGGCCCAACTCAACTAGATCAACAGGACAGCAAAGCCTAATTCAGCAGTCCCCACCACTGCCCTGTATGCACCCGGCCAAGATTTGGCCCCCAAACCTAGGAGGCAGCTAAGTGGACCCAGAGAGAGTCTGCACTTGTCTTGCTCAACTTCCAGACAGTGCACAGCATCTGAGCAAACACTCGGGAAAGCGACTGGGGCCAGCACCCTCGGGAAAGGTTGGTAAATTCTGAAAGCCCTTTATTAATGCCAACCCAAAGAGGACCCTGGCACTCAGAACTGCCCAACATTGGCCTCGTTGCAGAGGCAGCACCAGGAGCTGATCATAGCCCTTCATCCTCATTCCAAAAACACCTTCCTGCCAGCAGCCACTGTGACGACAGAGGGACTTTCTGTGAGGAAAACTTCAGCCTGCATTAGGAACATACTCCTTTCTCTGAAATTAACTTCAGAGTCACTATTTTCTGTAGTTTCTAACACAAACTGAAGTCTCACATTATACTGACTAACTGCCCTAAATTAAATCCTCAAGACCCGTTCATGCCAGCTCCCCTCGTCAAGCTACATTTAGGCTCTAACGTGCAACTAAGAGTCATTTTAGACAACATAATTAAATGTATCTCATTCTAAAAGCTTTTAAATTCATGGTTTTAATATACTGCCACTGCATCTGCTGAGTTTCAGAATGATATATTGCTCAAGTTTAGCAAATGATAAGAAAGTAGCTGTTTAAATGTCTGAAATGCAGTTACTCACCCTTATCATCAGCACTGCCTTCCTGATGTCCCGGATGCCGTCATACACCAGGCGGGAAGCATCTATAAACTCATTTTCATCCATGAGCTGGGCAGGGTCTGAGCTGAGCGCTTCCACGGCTGCCTCCACTTGCTCGGTAAAGCGTGGCATGACTGTGGGAGAAGAGCATGGCAGATCCCTGGGCCAGGTGGACCCATTATTCCATCCACCCTCCCCAGACACCTCAGACGTCGGAGGGCAAGCTTTATGATGAAGAGCGTCTGCTTCTGCCATGTGGAGGTTATTTATGGTTCAAATAAATTAAATGCACTATTTTATAAACATGAGTCATTTTGTCTCTGACTAGAACCTGCAATACAGGTTTTGGATGGTTGAAGACTTGATATGAAATGAACTTGAGGTCAGGTTTAAAAATGAGGCCCATCTAACTTAAGTTACTAAAGAGAGACTTAGAAGGTCACCTTAAATAAAATGTTCATGATCAGCTCGGTGATCACATGTCTGAACTGATGAGCTCATTGTTTCATCCACAACTCTAATCACAGGATCCATGTCCCGATCACTAAAATGGCCCTGCCCACTCAGGCTGCCTTCAAGGACACTGGGGGTACGCACCTGTGTTAGAAAGCAGCTTGGTGGCCTCCAGCACCTTCTCAGTGTAGACCCCCGGCTCATAGTTGTCCATCTCGGAAGTGACCACATGAATGACTCGGGCGGCTCGGCCTCGGATGGCACCAGCTGTGCGGTCCAGCCCATCTACATCCTTTTCTTGCAGAGCAATGACGCATTTATTCACATCTTCCAGAATGTGATTCTCTGAGAAACAAGAAAAGCTCAATGAGAAAGGAAGTCTTCCACTAGGGAGGTGACAATTGGAAGTTGGCATCTATCAATTTTTGAGTCCTTATTTTGTGCCAGCCACAGTGACAGAAGCTGGACAGAGATCACTGTGTCACTGAAGAGATCAAGTAAACTGTTCCACAAAAACTCACTCCCAAGAATAATTTTTAATTCAAGTCTTTTTAAAAAGAAAAGAAGAAAAAAAAAAGCCATCTCTGAAGCACAATTCTGTAGACCCACTCAAAATTCTGATGATCTCAGGAGGCTTACTAACTTCACTTCCCTCTTATATCATTTCACTGACCTTATATTTCAGTCCAAATTAGAGCAAAGGTTCACAGTGGTGTTCAATATACCAAGAAGCCAGCTCGGCCTGGGGTAGGGAACCCGAGGAGACAAAAGAGCTCTGAGCCTTCTCGTGGCAAGTAGCTGGGCGAACTATGGCATTTGCAAGTCATCCCCAGACATAGGGGCCCAAGGTCATAAAGCTGGGTTCTGAAGAATCAACCAAAGCTGCTTTCTCTCAAAGCAGCTTGATACTGGATTTGGAGAATCCAGTTACTTCAGCCTCATCTGCAATCATAAAATAAAAGCAGCCAAAATGTTCGAGAAGACTGGATAAATGAATTATGATGCCCACTTACTCAGTAAGGTATTGTTTTTGTTGTCTGCTGTCAAGTCGCCTGTACCTTATAGCTACCCTATATACAACAGCTCTGAATCCTGCTCTATACTGAGCCAAACTTCGTATCTGCTAGTCTATTCTGAGTACGCTCTATTGCACAAAGGGTTTTCGAAAGCTGTTATTTCAGAAACGGATGGCCAATCCTTCTTCCTAGTAAGGTATTAGATAACCATTAACATGAATGAGCTCTATCAGTATGAGCAGATGGAATGGGACAGGTGATGTCCTCTCACCCCAAGACTGTAGCGGCCTGGCCATGTCCTTCCAGTTCTGAAATACACTTTTTCAAGATATGTAAGGACTCTTAGAAGCACTGTCTGTTAACTCTCTCTCCTGTACATCAAAGAACACTTCATATTGTAGGTAAAAAAAACTAAAGATTATGCTCTTACAGAGCCAGAAAAATTATGGCAAGTGTAATCTGTTTAAGAAACCCATCTTTGTGTTTATTTACCAGCCCAGCCCAGCTCTGAGTAACAAAAGTCTTGACAAATCATAATCTAAGACTAGTTCCATCCAGAGCTGCTTTTCCCCCTGTACAGCCTCTGCTAAGTTATATACAGAACTGTCTAGGAGGGTAATAATAAAACAGACCTCTTAACTAACAAGAATCAGTCATGCTAATATTTTTTTTCTCATTCCAAGAAGGTGAGCAGGGGCTGGTGGTATCTGGCAGGTCTGCCCACAGGCTCATAGGCTGCAGCTCAAGGACCAAGGCCTGCCCTCCCTAGTTCCCTAGAGATTGTGGGTGGAATTCTGTAAGGTAGGTGACCTTTGTTCTGAGACCACAAGTATGATGGAATAAGATAAGGAAAAAAGACACAAAGAGAAAAATCCCATACGACACTAGCTAAAAAAATGACCAATAACTCCTAGAAAAGATAACAGAAAAAAACAAAGAAATAATAATTTAAAAAAACCCACAACACAGGCTAAAAGTAAAAAAGTTGTGGTTGTTGGATGTCATTGAGTCTAAGTATAATTCATAGTGACCTTATGGACAACAGATCTGAAACCTGTCCTATCCTGTGCCATTCTCACAATTTTTCACACATCTGAGCCCACTGCAACAATCACTGTGTCAATCCACCTGGTAGAGTCTTCCTCTCCTTCGCCAACCCTGTCTTTCCAAGTATCGTCCCCTCCCCCTTAAATTTTTTATTATTTTTTTTTTCCCCTATGTGGACCGTCAAACTGGATCTAACTGGTACAGGCAGAGACTGCCCCTCCTTCTACAGCAGAGCATCTGGTGGATTCAAACCGCGTGCCTCTGGGATTCATTTCCCTTTCTAAGAAATAGCCTCTTCCAACAATATGCACTCTACTGTTAATAGGATTTTCATTGCATTTGGGAAAGTCTGCAGTTAGGGACCTCTCTAAATTACTGAGGAGCAATGATGTCAATTTGAGGATTAAGGTGTGTGATATTAAGGCTGTGGTATTTGTGATCACTTGCTGGACAATGAATAGGGATGACAGAAGAATTGATGCCATTGAGCTGTGGTATAGAAGAAAAGCACTGAACATCCCATAAACTGCCAAAAGAACAAATAAATGTCTTAGAGAATGCAGCCAGAGTTCTCATCAGAGGCAAAAATTATGAGGCTTTGCCTTACATTGGGCATGTTGCTAGGAAGGGCTATTCCTTGGAGAGGGACATGATGCTGGGAATGGTGGAGGATTTGCAAAGAAGAGTGAGACCCTCAACCAGGTGGATTGACATGGTGACTACTGCAATGGGCTCTAGTATGTCAGGAAGTCTGAGGATGGTACAGGATAGGACAGTGTTCAGGTCCACCGTTCACAGGCAGGGCTGCTATAAATTGTGCTTGACTTGATGACACCTAACAACAATAATAATAAGCAACATGCCCAAAGTATGTGTGGTGGCACTTTATCATCTTTGCCTCCCAGGAGCACTTTCCCCATGACATATGTGTTTTCTCTTTTGGCAGTCCATGGGATCTGTACTCTTCTCCAACCTTGTGAGCTGGAATCAATACCTTCTTCTGTCATCTTTATTCACTATCCAGCTCTCAGATGCACAGCAAGTTATTGGAAAGACCAGAGCCTGAATTCGACACAAGTCTTAAAATTGACATCATTATTCCTCAATAATTTGGAGAGGCCTCTGACTCCAGACTTTCCCCAAGTGCAATCTGTCTCTTGATTCCTGACTGCTGGTACCAAGGGTGTTGACTGTGGTGGTTCCAAGTAAGATGAAATAATTAACAGTTTCAATCTTTTCTCCACCTATCATGATGTTGCATATAGGTCCAGTGGTAAGAATGTTTGTTTTCTTGACACTAGGATGCAATCTATATTGAAGGCTGTATTCTTTGATCTTTTGCAACAAGTGCTTCAAGTCCTCACTTTCAGCAAGCAAGGTTGTGTCATCTGGGTAACACAGGTTACTGATGAGTCTCCCTCCAATATGAATGTCACATTCTTCTTCTTAAGAGTCCAGCTTCTCAAATAATTTGCTCAGCATGGAGGTTGAATAGATATGGAGGGAAAATAACAGCCTAATGCACTCCCTTCTTAATTTTAAATCCTTGCTCTTTTCATACAACAGCCTCTTTGCCTAGGTGTATATTTCACATGGACACAATTAAGTGCTCTAGGATTTTCATTCTTCTCTATGTAGCTATACCTTGTTATGATCCACGCCAAATGCCTTTGCATAGTCAATAAAGCATAAATTGACATCCTTAAGGTATTCCTTACTTTCAGCCAGGGTCCATCTGATATCAGCAATGATATCCCTGGTGCCATTACCTCTTTCTAAATCCTGCTTGAATGTCTGGAAGTTCTCTACCTCTTTACTGTCCTAACAGTTTTGGTATGATCTTCAGTAGTATTTTGCTTCCATATGACATTAATAATATTGTTCAATAGTTTCCACACTCTGTTGGATCACCTTTCTTGGGAATGCGAACAAATATGGACATTTTTCCAATCAGCTAGCCAGACAACTGTCCTCTAAACTTTCTGGCATAGACTGGTAAGTGCATCTAGGACTGCATCCATTAACTGAAACAAGTCAATTGCTATCCCATCAATTCCTAAGGTCTTATTTTTTGGCAGTGCTTTCAGTGCAGCTTCAATTTCCTCTTTTATTATCACTGGCTCCTGCTCATATGGTAGTTCCTGAAATTTTTCAGTGTCAATCTGTTCTTTCTGATACAGTGATTCTGTGTATTCCCTCCATCTTCTTTTGATGCTTCCTAGATTCATTTAATATATTGCCCACAGTATCTTTCAATACTGCAACTTAGGTTTTAAATGTTTTTTTAGTCTCTCAGCTTGAGAAATGCCAAATGAGCTCTTCCTTTTTTATTCTCCAATTCCAGCTCTCTGCACATTCCATTAATACTTTGCTTTGTATTCTCAAGTTGCCCTTTGAAATCTTCTGTTCAGTTCTTTTATTTCAGTATGTTTCCCCTCTGTTTTGGTTTCCTGATGTTCTAGTGCAATTCAGAGTCTTTTCTGACCTCCATTTCTGTTATTTTTCCTCTTTGTAATGACCTTTTGTTCTCTTCATGGATGATATCCTTGATCATATGGTCTTCAATCATTGGTGTTCAAGGCTTCAGACCTCTTCTTACGATTTTGATCAGATGGAATAGTTTCAAGATCATATTTTGGTTCTTGTGGACTTCTTTTCATTTTCTTCAGCCTCAATTTGGACTCGCAAATGAGTAATTGATGTCTGAGCCACAGTCTGCCCCGGCCTACTTTAGTTCAGCTTCACCAAGAATTCCTTTCAGATATGTAATCAATCTGCTGCCTATGCAGGCCATCAGGTGAGATCAATGTGTAAAGTTGCCGTTTGTGTGTTTTTGTTTTTTTTTTTTTAAAAAAAGCTATTTGCAATGAATAATTGAAAATACAAAATTCAATCATTCTATTTCCAGCCTCATTTCTGTCGCCAAGCCCATATTTTCCAACTACCATTCTTTCTTCATTGTTTCCAATTTTTGCATTCCAGTCACCAGTACCTCCCTACTATAAAATGCACTGGGTCCTTAAATGTTGCTTTTACCCCATCTAGCAGCTCACTGAAGAAAAAAAGAGATGCTGACAATCCAGTATTGTTTCAAAGCACCGATTTTAAGAATCATCTTGATTGCAGATGTGGTGGGAGTTGGGGAAGTGGGAAGTACATGACAGAATCAGTCAGTGAACCATGGCATTATTTTTGTTCATTAAACAAAGTGGCTCGAAGCTCTACCTGCGACTAGCGGCCCATGTTTTTAAAAATCAACGTAGACTTTCTTAAATTCAGACTAGCTTTTTTCCAGATGAACCCAAAACAGGGAAGTGCTTGTTATTCTTCAGCAACAAAGGCAGGTTTACATTTCAGGAAGCTGACTGCAGTCAGACTCTTACACCCTGACGGGGAAGCTTAGCCTGGCTGTGGACAGCACTAAGCCGGCTCTCTCCTCCAAAATCCAAAAGAAGGGACAGTTTTCCCACCAGCACCAACATGCCCACAGGAACTTAACCATAAATTACCTGAACTATCATTGAATTTCCAGGGAAAACACAAGGGTCTGTTATGCTTAAACATACCAATCAGAACTCCATTAAAAGTACACAATATAGTATTTATAGATCTACTTCAACAAAGCGTAAAGCAAACAAGCCACTGATACCCACTCTTTCTTTCATACGAGTCTATCTAGAGGAATACTTCTTTTTCCTGCATTTGCTTTACAGCACTTTACAGATACCACCGGTTTGTCTGGGCAGCGCCCCCCCCCCCCAAAAAAAAACAAAACCTACACAAAACCAACATATAAGTCCACTGCACCATTTTCCATTAACATCTGCTTACTTTATGTCTGCCATATTTTAGTAATTCTCACAATATTTAAAACTTTCCATAATGTTATTACACATTTAATAGTCTACATGATAATATAAACATGACTTGCATACGCACTGAGAAACAAGTCATGTGACTGATTTTACTGTGGTGGTTATGTGACATCTCTGAGATGTGCCTGTAAAACACACACACACACACACACACACACACACACACACACACACACACTCTCTCTCTCTCTCTCTCTGTGGAAATTAAAAGAACAAACAAACTATACTATCAACATAAACATATTGGGTTTTTTTTTCTCTTGAAAACCTTCTTGGGTCTATCAGGAGCATACATTTTAATGGCTGCATCATATCCTACTGACTAGATAAAGGGGCCATAATTCATTTGCCCAAACTTCTCTTGGACATTTTGGTTTAAGTGAATATCCTCCTACAGGTGTTTTACTAAATTCTGTGTACCTGGGAGAAATCTGAGCAATGAAATTACCAAGCCAATGGATATAAATGTGGTATCTGATTGCCCTTGAGTCACTATACCAACTGGCATCATCCAGAAAGAGGCAAGCGTTTATATATGAGTCCTTGTGTGTAATAGCAAGTCCTGTTCCGTGCATCTTTTGCCCTGAATGTTTATATGGTTCAACTTTGATCCACAGGTAGGAGACAATATTGCTTGATACTTTATGGAGTGTTTACACTATGTCAGGCACTGTTCTGCGTGTTTAACACTTAATTCTTTGTTGCAGACTCTGTTTTTATCACCCTTAATCAATGAGAAAATTAGGACACAGAAGTATCAAGTAACCTACTCAAGGTCACATAGCTCATAGGCAAGGAAAGTGAGTCATCAAATCTAACTTCATCACTAGCTATTTACTACTTCCTCCAAAGTGAAGAATTCTTATTTTCAGTTTTGCATTTTTTTTTTAAAAAAAGCTGCAACAATCCATTTATTTAACAACCTCCCAATAAGACTGAATTCTTTACGTGTCCTTCTATGTATAAAGTGGAGTACAAAGTACCACTCTCATGTGTTGCCCCAAAGTAAATCTAGTACTATTGGCTGTTTCCAAGAGCATTTGGTAAGAATTTGTTATAAACCCAATCAGAACCGCTCTGAGCAAACAACTGCATCTCTTAAAAAAAAAAAAAAAGACCAAAACGTCAGCATGTAAGCAGAGTAAACAAATGAGAAATTAAATTGCACTTCCAGGAAACATGCTTATCAAATATAATTCAAATGAAATTCAAACAGTCTTTATCACTTTGATAAATTTCATACCACTCTCCTTAAGCGATCAGTCAATATAAATATGTTCTTGGCTTCTGAATGCTCTCTAACATCTAGCATGATCTCTGACATTTACAAGGCAGGAGTCTAAAAAGAACATCCTGGGGAGAGCAGAGGCTGATCTTCCTTCCCCGAGGAGCATGTGTGTCCTTCATTAGCAAGTGCCACTCTACTGACACTTGGTGAAGTAGTTACCAAGGCTCTGTAGCCTCATAAAACACTTGGTAACAATCTGGACTCAACTTGTCACAAGTTCAAGGAAGTCTATCTTCCAGGACTAAGGGGACAAAATATACAATAACAGTAAAGATAAAGCAGCAGAGGGTTCTCTCTGCCCCCACCCCAGTTTGAGGTCAAAGGTTTGGTTCCTAGTTTATAAAGGTTGGGGTTCCAGTTATTACGCAGAGCAAGAATTCAGAGAAATTTCATGGTGGAAAATCATTAGTGGAAACATTGTACAAAATCTTTCACACTGCCAAAGCTGTTTTTCAGAGGCAGAAAATTGCACAGGAGAAGATTGTCCATCCTTCTCCCATGGATTCAAACCACATTATCTTTGGGATTGCAGTGCCACTTCTTAACACTAAGCCACCAGAGCTCGATGGCCAAAGGACTACATGCCCCAGATTATAGAGAAAACACCATTCACTACAAAAATCAAGCAGTCTCCTTACATTTTATTCACCATAATTTTATTTAAGTCCATTTGCATTCAATCAGACCAGCTGGCAGGCCCTCTATTCAGAAACAAGTCCTTCTCAACTAATTGGTACCTGAGTGCCCCAGGAAATGGACAGAGGGGCAGAGAAGGGTGAATCTAACTAGAACTAGTTTCTTGTTTAAATTCTGTTCTTGACTGCCACAGATGAAGCCTGACCTCCAATCTTTGTAAACTTTTAGATATGCTGTGAGTGGCAGGAGGGCTAAAGACACAAGGCAGTCAAGAACTGGCCCAGTCAGGAGTCAGGGGCCGCCTTAATGAGAGGGTGGCTCCCACTTCCCTAGGCTAGATAAGATCACCTCTCTAGTTACCCAGATTAAGAAGTGATAAATCTGTCATGGTTTAATAGTTAATACTCAGGCCCGAAGAGTCAAGGGAAGTATGTGAGGGCATGAAAGACGCTGAATATTGAAAACGTAACTAGTGAGCCAAGGCTGCATAGCCTGCCTGTCTCATTTTATCCCATCCTCCTATGAAGCATACACAAAAAACTGAGGAACTGTTACAATAGACCTTGCCCTATAAATTATTTATTTGACAGTTCTAGGCAAGCCTGTGACAGAACATTAGAGAAACACACTAGGTAGACCTCTGTAATTCACATGCTCTAAAAACACCACCATTTCCTGACTGAGAGAATTGTTCCATGCTTTTATTTGCAAAATGGAAACTGCCTAAACTTCTTTCCATCAAGTCAAGTCTCTTATATTCTCCTACATTTGCATAAAAATTGAACACACTCACCAGACAAGAGTATATCTGTTAAAGAATTTGATTTCTCTTTTCCATTCTTCAAGTTCATGTCATATATACCCTAAAGATATTGCCTGGATCTCACTAAATGCTGCTGCTGAATCCCTTTTGTTTTCTGATTTAAAGAATGTTGCATGAGAGATATTTGATTCTATTAAATTTTATTTTCCTGTAAGACAGCGTGAAAATCCCTTGAGACCAAGCCTAAGATATACATAACCTAATCATAAGGAAAAAAGTTGAGGAACATAGCTTTTATCCGGAGGGGGACTTTGAATTTAGATTTCAGAATTTTTTGTTTGCTTAAAACTGCGCTGTGAAGGTGGAATGTTTTTCTCTAAACCTATGTAAAAGAATAATTCAGTACTTCATTGGGAAAAACAACAGAAGGCCAAGATTTCCCAAAAAAGCCATTGCTGCATTTTGGCACCTGCAAAGATACGCTTGCAAATGGGTTTTTTGTTTTAAAATACCACCACCTGCAATTTGGCAGTCCTGCAGCAGCACAATTACCCCGTCTTCTTGCACTTTATAGACGTAGGCTCTCCATTTCCCCAAGATAAGCCAAAGCTACAAGTCCTGAAGCCAGTGAGTAGAGACAGGGAAACATTGGTATGCAGTACACACCGGCTCCCTTATATAGGTCACTGCTGGAGGGCTGTGCTGCATGCACTTACGCTGCTTCTGCTTCAAGCCCCATTGCCACTCACACTTTCCCCTCTTCTAGCCTGTGGTTCCCTGGGGTGACAGGTAGATCCAACTCTACAAGTACCCAGCCACTGACTTTGCTCACAGTCACCAACCTCAGGAAGCCAGGAATTTCCAGAGAGCGAGCAGTCTGGCTATCCAAAGGCTAGTGGTGGCTCCATTAGATGAAGAGTGCATTCATATTTATCTAAGACTAAGGAGATGGGACTGAAATACATCTCTGTGTGATAAACACTATGAATTGCATTTGACAGACATTTTCTATATGAATGCAATTTACTATGTCATTACCAGTTTATGTTTATATAATGAAATCAACTGTTTTTGTGAGGTGAATTATCCAGATTTATTTTTTCCAAGTTCATAATTAAATAGCACTTAAATATATCCTCCCTGTTTTCTATCTGAGCATCAGGCAGACAGAAGCATCTGGGAGAGGAGACAGTTAAACTATGATTATTTCTGAGCAAGAGAGGGGGAGGCTTTCCATGAGAGGCCACATTTATTTCAAATTAGAAACTAAAGGTGATGATGCTGGGGGATGCCCTTCTCCTCTGTGAGGCCAGTCCTGATGAACACAAAAGTAACAAGTGGGGGTGGGTGTCACAGCTTGAGGCTACTGCTATAGACAGATAAAGGTTAAAACTTCTATAGTTGGCTTCTCATTCAGCCCCTCCTATTCCTAAAATTATTCTGTATTCTAATCCCACTCCACCTCCCAATGCTCAGGTCAGTGGTAGGGTCTTTGGGATTTTTTTTTAAATAAAATGAAAATCCACACCATACTAGTGCTAGACTACCTGCTCAGACTTGAGGCCTTTCTGATTATCCATTTATTGTAACTCAAAGTAATTACATGCATCCTTCTCCTGGGAACCACCTCATTACCTGAGACAGCTAAGAAGTCATCAATGGAAGTAATGTCATCTACAGCATCAGTGAGGACACGAACTTGTTTTTCCCATTGCTCTTTAAAAAGATCCATGTTCTCTTGGGCCAGTTTACTCTGTGGTTTTGCTGCTAATGCCAGTGCAGCATTAATAACCTGCAAAAGACATTAAAGTTCATAGTTCACTCTCTTTTTCAAGAGTCATGAAAATAAACAAAAGGGACAACATGGAGAGCAGAGTGGTCATGCTTTTGCCACCTGCCTTTCACCAAGACATGGCATGAGCTACCACAAATCTTACAAAGCTGAAGCAGAGACATGCTAAACAGTAGGCTTTATATATGAATGTGTTTGTATATATACACACACACACACACATATGAAATAAAGAATAATTATAAAATTGTACCTCTAATTTCTCTACCCTGAAACAGGAACTCTATCATTTCTGTAGTACATTCCAGGCTTTATAATCCTCATATACATAATTACATGTTCCATAAAACTATGCTGCTCCTTCTGATATTTACTCAAGTTATATGTTTAAGATATTTTACAATTCTACTTTACAATTTCATATGCCAATTCCAAGGGCAGCTTTTATCCCTTTTTAAAAAACTCAGGCATAATTACCATGTAATACATTGGTAAGTATATTACCACAAACTCTTTAGCTTTTAAGTAAGTTTTATTGAGATTTAATTTATATAGCATGTAATTCCTCCATTAGAAGGTATATAATTCCATGAGTTTTTATAGAAGTGTATTTAGAGTTGTACAGTTATCACAATCAATTTTAGAATATTTTCATCCTTCTAAAAGAAAAAGGCTCAGGTCTTTTGTTCATAGGGTTGCTATGAGTCATATGTGACTTGGTGGCACTTAACCATTGCTAAGTGAGTCTAGTGTTGTTATATTTTGGAGGAAGAGTCTTCTAAGTCGTACAGCACTCTTCTGTCAATTTGCTGCACTGAGGTAATCTGGGTTTGCTGTGATGCTGAACCTTGTGCCACTGGGGTGTCAAATGCCATAACAGTTGCCCAAAATGGACAGTGTTTGGTGGAACTCCCAATTTAAGACAGGTGTAGAAGCAGAAGTAGCATCCACTTCCTAAACCATACACCTATGGAAACTCTATGAACATAGAGAAACGATAGTTCTAGAAAGGCATCAGGGTCTTTTGTTCACAGAATCACTAAGAGTTGTGCTTGACTTGATGGCAATCAACAATAACAAAAGAAACTTTGTACTATTATCATTCATTCCCCATTTCCAACTCTTTATGATCCTGTATGGTTGAAGCTTCTGAGTAGGTGTCCGGTGTTATGGTTCACCTTATATATCTGTCTACTGTTTGGCTGGACTGAGTTTAAGTCTCAGGCTCAACCAGAGTCTGAGGGGTTCCACCCGTCTCTGTCAGGCCAGTAAGCCTGGCCATTACTGTGATTGAGTTTTATTCTACAGTAACTTTCATTCATTCCAGAACCTTGTATGTGGTCCCTTTTAAATAACATCTAGTTCTCCTGGTCTCAGGGTTGTGGAAATTGAGGGTCACAAGGTCCACTGGTACTACAGACTTATTGTTCATTCCCATGCATCATTTATTTTCTACACTCTTCTTTGCTCCAAACAGGAAGAGACTCATGATTACACCTAAGATGGTCTCTCAAAAGCTTTTAACTCTTTAGTTGATGCTCACCAATACAGAATGTAAAACACACTCACCTTCCAGACTGCATGCTATACCAACTGACCCTCATTATTTCCTGAAGCCCCATAATTAGGGACTTATTCTTTTGGGCTATCTGGTTACTGTTACAAGGTTTATGTAATACTGTCCCACTGGCTTTAGCACCTACATGGATATATTTGTAGCACACAGAAATACTCATGTTGATCTATCATCTGCCAAATCTATGCATAATCATGGATGCAGTCCCTTTCACTTACACTGTTATGTAATGGTCTACAGTTGTCTACAATTCCTGCACAGTTGTCTTCCTTTTCTTTACTGTTGTTGTATAGTTAAGCTGCAAGTGATCCTTTGCTTACCATCCACCAGGTTTTCAGAGTTAGTAAATCCCATGAAAGGAGAGTGACCCTCTTTCCTATGTGAAGCTTGTCGTGAATTCAAACTGTGCATCTTTATGTTGGCATCGCAATTCCTTACCACTTACCATCGGCGCTTTCATATTTTATATAGCCTTTCCCCTCATCCAATTTACTATTTGTCTACTACCCAATTATTCATTTTCCTCCCGTTAGTAACCATCAAATAATGCTTTGCTGTATGCGCATACATTTCTTTAGTTTTTTATAATAGTGGACTCTTAAAATATTTGTCCTTTCGTGTCTGACTTATTCACTATGATGTCCTTCAGGATGAACCATGTTAAGTGGTTTTACAAACACTTTATTATTTATTAATGGTGCATAGTATTCCATTATGTGCACGTACCAGTTTGTTCATCCATTCATTTGCTGATAAGCAATTAGGATCTGCCTTCCTTTTAATAATAATTCTAATAACAACAACAATAACCATTTCTACACTGAAAACCTGCTAGAACTAATGAGTTAGTTCTACACAAGGGTTTGTAAAAACAAAAATTAAAAAAAAAAAAAGGAGTTAGTTCTGACCTGACAATGAATTTAGTGTGAAGGAGTATTATATTATGATTTTGATTTGCATTTCTCAGATGGTTAATGACATACTTTCATGCACTTATTTGCCACATGCAGTATATCTTCTTTAAAACGTGTCGATTCAGATCCTCTGATGGACAAATCAAGTGGAAATAAAGACAGGAAGAAACTTGTGTGGCCAAATAGAGACCTAGATGCATTAGAACATAAACTGCTACAGAGGCAATGCTGTCATGTGCTGTCGTGTCAATTATCAATCACAGTGTCTCTATGAACAACGTATCAGAACCTGGTGCTATTCTCACGACCTCTACCATGGTCACTGTTTCTTTCACTGACCCTCCTCCGTCTTTCTGAGCATTATATGTGTTTCCAAGGACTAGCCCCTCTCAGCATCATGCCCAGAGTACGTGAGATGAAGTTTCACCACACTTGCCTCTAAGCAGCACCATGGCTGCACTTCCTCCAAGATAGTTTTGTCTGTACTTTTAGTCCAAGGGATATTCAGTATGCTTCTCCAAAGTCACAATTCAAAGCCACTCATCTTCCTTAGGTCATCCTTAGTCACTTAGTTGAACTTTCATATATGCAAGTAGTAAATTAAAATACCATGGCTTGAATCAAGTGCTCCTAGGTCTCTAAAGTGAGAGTCAATAGGACATGTAAGAGTCAACAGGGCATCTCAGGTTGCAGCTAGGATGATTTTTAATTATTGTAGGTGCTATAAGCAACTGTGGGCTGAAAAATAATTAGTTCAATTCTATTTGGTGCTTTGAGGATGAAAGATAGGGATTTTCCTACTATAAAGATTTACAGACCCAGAAACCAACTGGAAAGTTGCCATGAATCAGAACTGACTCAACAGCAATGGTTTCCTTCACAAATAACATGACTTAGAGCACGTGGAAGAAAATGAGATACTCAAAATGCAACAGAAAACTACAATAACGAAAACAGGGTGAAAATATGATGAAAGTAATGTAAAAAATCAATTGGAATTATGTGCAGTAAGCTTGTTCCCAGATACAAAACAAAACTAAAAATAACCATACTAGAAAAATGTATTTGTTTAACAAATGTCCAAGTAAAAATAAAATCCATTCCACGCTCCATGGGCAGGTAAGGTCCACAACCCTGAGAACACTACCAATCTCTACCAGACCAGTAAGCCTGGCCATTATTTTTGACTTTTTGTTTTGACTTGTGTTCTTCATTTACCACGTTGAATTCAATGTATGCTGAACAAAAATTCAAGATGGACGACATGAAGAACATATAAGGGCTGCAAGAAGATTCATTAACCTCATGGGCTATGCAACTAACAACTAAGCTTGCTGAAAATGACAAGACTTGAAGCACTTATTGATGAAAACTAGACTACAGAATTCAGTACCTATTACAAAACCAATTACAATTAGTCAAAACAAACAAACCCAAAAACAACCTTCACAACTGCACCAATAAGAAACATAATGATAAATGGAAAATAGACTGACATTGTTAAGGATTTCATTTGAGTTGGATCAATGCCTACAGAAGCAGCAGTCAAGATCAAGTATTAAAGAGAAAAGATGCCAATAAGGTCCTTATACCTGACCCAAGCCACTGTATCTGCAGTTGTGTCACATGCACACAAAAGCAACACAATGATTTTTGAATTATGGTGTTAGTGGCTAATACCAAACTTACCACGGAAAACCAAAAAATCTATGTTGGGAAAAGTGCAGACAGAATACTTTTACAAGTGAAGATGATGAGACTGCCTCACATACTTTGGTTTTTATCAGACGGAGGGGCCAGTTCCTTGTGAATAGCATGTTTGATAAGACATTCAGGGGGTGGCAGGGAAGAAGACCCTCAAATTAGATTGATTATAAGGAGGCTGCAATAATGGGCTCAAACAGAGCAATGTCTGTGAGAATGGCCTTGGACTGATCAGTGCTACTATGAGGTGGTAAACCAGTACATCAGCAAAACACCACAAAAAATAGGGGAAAGATAGGGATAACTTGGCAAAGTGAAACAAATGAAGTATTAAGATTATTCCCTTGTAATTACACAAATATAAATTAATGAGTTACATTCCCCCATTGCCATGGTACTGAATGTTAACATCTATTAAAAAAAATTTATTTGCATCCACTCATTGCATACATTATGTTTCAATTGAATGTTAACTTTTTAAAAGTTACTACTGGTTAGATCCTCGGTATGCTGGACAGTGTTGAATAGCATTGATGCTAATGAATATTTTATCTTGGTTTTTCCCTCAAGTATGATGTTGATTTTTTTGTATGCATCTTTTTAGGTTGAGAGTATCATCCTCTTCTATTCCTAGCTTGCAGTGTTTTTATCAGTACTGAGTGTTGGATTTTGTCAAATGCATTTTCTATTTCATTCATTGTCCCTATTCTGCCTACTCTGTCTCCTTAGTTGTCTTGCCTTCTTGTGCCAATATTGGAGATCCTCAATGCTCAGTCCTGGCTGCCTTCTCTCCTTCAATCCCATTC